GAGGGAGAGGCAGTGGGGAAGTAAGGTAAAAAGGGCCATCCGTCTTGCAGTACATCTCAGGGACAGCCAGCCTTCTGTGTTCATCTCTTCTTTCCTGCAACCATCCACAGGTTGGGAGGTCAGAGTATCTCCCTGTGAGCTCAACAAAGGCACTTTAGTTGAACAGTCAGGCCAAGAGGTAGGGTCCTCTGAGGCCAGCCATTGTGGATGATTACAATAACCACAGCAGTGAGAAGCAAGGCAAAGAAACCGTTCCAACTTGGAATCACAATTGGTCTTCCTTGCAACAGTTGTGCGATCATGTTGTGTGGAACTGCTGACAAGGGTGGTCTCAACTTTGACTGGAGGACCTGGATGTGGGCTCATAGCTAACTGTGGGTTGCCTGGAAGGGTGGGCATGCCACAGTGTCTTAGCTCAGTTTCCCTGGGACACAGATGCTGTGACTGAATTTTGCGTACGTTGGTTGATTGGGAAAGTCATGATCACACCTGAGAAGGAAGGAAGAAAGGGGAATTGGGAAGAGGACTGTTACCCTGCAGTGTGTTAGAATCAAGGCCTGAGCTGAGCCCACAGGGAGGGATGGGTGCATTGGTCCTGGAGGTGGGTTCCAGAAGGTTCCCCACAGCATTGACTCCATGGAGTGGATTTTGTGATGTCTTTTGGAAGAGCAAGTATCATTATGCAATGTGTAAAATAACTGTTGCTAAAATCCCCGAGGGGTTCCCTTACAGCTCAGTTGGTAAAGAATCCGCCTGCAACGAGGGAGACCTGGATTCGATCCCAATACCTGACCATCTGAGCTGTCTCTTGAGAAACCTGTATGCAGGTCAGGAAGCAACAGTTAGAACTGGACATGGAACAACAGACTGGTCCCAAATAGGAAAAGTACGTCAAGGCTGTATATTGTCAACCTGCTTACGTCACTTATATGCAGAGTACATCATGAGAAACCTCAGAGACATTACTTGGCCAACAAAGATCCATCTAGTCAAGGCTATGGTTTTTCCAGTAGTCATGTATAGCTGTGAGTGTTGGACGATGAGGAAAGCTGAGCACCGAAAAATTGGTGCTTTTGAACTGTGGTGTTGGAGAAGACTCTTGGGAGTTCCTTAGACTGAAAGGAGATCCAACCAGTCCATCCTAAAGGAGATCAGTCCTGGGTGTTCATTGGAAGGACTGATGCTCAAGCTGAAAGTCCAGTGCTTTAGCTACCTCATGCGAAGAGTTGACTCATTGGAAAACACCCTAATGCTCGGAGGGCTTGGGGGTAGGAGAAGGGGACAACAGAGGATGAGATGGCTGGATGGCATCACCGACTGGATGGACATGGGTTTGGGTAGAGTCCAGGAGTTTGTGATGGACAGGGAGGCATGGTGTGGTGTGATTCATGAGGTTGCAAAGGGTCGGACTCAACTGACCGACTGACCTGAACTGAACTGACTGATTGCTCTTCAGATTCCTTGATGTTAGTTTAGGTTGCTCAGGGAACTCTTATTGTTGGACTTTTATGCTCTGTTACTTAACTGATTCCTTAGGTTCAAAGGAATTTGACTTGACTTTACTCCCTCCTTTTTTAGTATAAAAGGGCACTGAGTTCCAACTCGGGTAAGATGGTTTTTGGGGTACAAGTCCACCATATTTTCAGTTTGCTGACTTTCTGAATAAAGTTGCTTTTCCTGCCCCAACGACTTGTCTCTCAATTATTGGCCTGTTGTGTGGAGAGCAGTAGAAGCTTAGAATGTGTCCTAAAGGAACAATACGGTTTCCATCAATTTGTAAAGATGTATTGCTCTTTTTGAACACATGATGCAAAGAGCAGACTCAATGGAAAAGACCCTGATGCTGGGAAAGATTGTGGGCAGGAGAAGAGGGCGACAGAGGATGAGATGGGTGGATGGCATTACCCACTCAGTGAACACAAGTTTGAGAAAACCCTGGGAGATAGTGAAGGACAGGGAAGCCTGGCATGCTGCAGTTCATGGAGTTGCAAAGAGTCAGATTCGACTTAGCAACTGATCAATGAAAATTGCTCTTTTTAAAGCAATGGTTAGTAAAATTTGTCAATTTGAAATAGAAAAAGCAAAAGGTACTGATGGAAGTTATCACATACCTTAGTCCTCCAGTCTCATACTGTAGGTTTTGACCTTGTTTCTCTGGAACTGAACCATGTGGAATTTGCCCTTCCAGGTGAATGAGGAACAAAGAGGAAAAATGTTATAGAGGATGCCACTGTAAAATGGAACGTTTTCCTCAGGGATAGTTTTGTATTTCTTATTTTAGTTTGCAGTACAGAGAGAAATCCAGAAAAATCTCTTGTTTTCTTAAGATGCTTAAATTATTCTAATTGGAGGAAATGTTTTGCATTCAATTACCGCCCAACAGGAACTTTTTGGAGACCCAGGTTCCCAACCCCTGAATTGCCAGGAGCAGGACAGGCAAGAACCTGCTGACAAAACCATTTATTTATTTATTTATTGCACTTGACAATATGTGGGTTATTTTCAAATACCTCTTGGTATTGATTTCTCACATAGTTTCACAGTATTAAGAGAACAGGCCCTGTATGATTTCAATACCCTTTATTTAGGCCATGAAACTTTTGCACCTTGTTTAACGTCATGTTCCAGTGTCTCCTGGTTATTAGTCTATGGGAACGTGAATAAAATTTGTATCCTGCTGTTGTGTGAAATTGTATACGTCTTAATTATGTTGAATTGGTTCACAGTTGTTTTCAGGTCTTCTATATCCTACTTTCCTGTCCATTCTATTAATTTTTGAGAGTTTAATATTGAAATTCCACCTAAAAATGTTAATTTGTCTACTTAAAAAATTACATAGTGGAACTGCAACTATTTTCAAAGCCTCATGTAAATGTGTTGTCATACTTTCATAATTTCAAAAAATTTTAAAAAGCAAAATAAAATCTTTATTGAAACTTTTCTACTTGTTAGGAGGAAATATCCTAGTTTCCAACATAACTGGTCTACAAAGTTAGAAGCTTTTGCCTTGAAAGTGTAACGAGGTAACACAACAACCTGGGAAGGCCGGCTGCCTCTGCCAGCGTGGCGGCGTGGAGCCCCGCCGCAGCAGTGCCTCTGGTCCCCGGAGCCCGCCACCTTCCTCTTCTCCACTGTGCCCACTGCATGTTTTCCTCGCATTCCAAAGGGGAGCGCAAAGTGACCCAAATCCTCAAAATTTCCAGGAGGCTGTGGGGGAATGTATAAAATTAAAATTAAATCGGAAGAATTTAAGGAGAAGAGAACTGTCCAGCAGCCAGCAGGCACTAAAAGAAGAAATCAAAGGTATGCACGGATTGCAGACTTTTCAGTTTGTCCCCAAACACTGACCATACCCTGGCTGCTTAGATGTTGTTGCTAAACAGTGGATGAATCTTACTAACAGGGGCTTCCCTTGTGGCTCAGCTGGTAAGAATCCGCCTGCAATGCGGGAGACCTGCGTTAGATCCCTGGCTTGGGAAGATCCCACGCAGAAGGGAAAGGCTACCCACTCCAGTATTCTGGCCTGGAGAATTCCACGGACTGTACAGATCATGGGGTCGCAGAGTCGGACACGACTGAGCGACTTTCACTACTACCACCGTTCTTTCCTCAACGTATGACAAAAAGTTTATTTTGTTCATAGACATTTCCATATTGTAATTATAGAAGAATATGGTATGTATTCAGATGATAAAGGCAACAGATTAAAAAAAACAGGCTGTAATTTATGGGGCCTCACAGGACTGGTAAGGACCTTCCTGGCCCTTGCCCCACCTTGCTCTCACTCTGCCGAGCTGGGCGCGCCTCGCCCCGCCCCTCGCCTGCAGCGATCCGCCCAGCTCCAGACCCGGAAGCTCCGCCTCGTAATCTGCGCGTGCGCAGGTTTCCTGCGGAAGCGGAAGGCTGAGAGAGAAGGGAACCGGGCAGCCATTGGGTTTTTTGCTCCTAGTGTAAACGTGTGCCGCGCGCTTCGCCGTCCAACCCGCCCTCGCCATGTCCATCTTCAGGGTCTGGGTGGTTCTGCGCAAGTACTATCCCAATACCCCGCCCTCCGCCCGAAATAAACCCAGAGGCCGCCGTTGCAGGTCGAGTATTCGAAATCGCCGTGAGGCTTATCCTTGCCGTTTGCTTTTCGGTCTTCGACCCCGGAGACACCGCCTTTCGGGATATTCTCCTGCTTTAAACTTAACCGTTAGTACCTACGCCTGTGCCTTGTAAAGTCCCCGGGCGCTAGGTGGATTCGGGCACGCCCACCTCCACCGCCTCACCCTGTAGGCCCCTGGAGGTCGCGTCGACAGCCCGGCTCCGGGAGAAGCCGCGTCCTCTCCCCGGTCCTGGGATTCTGGAGACCCCGCCCGGGCCCCCGAGACCCCCTCGCTCCCAGCCTCTCTGCCCTCGCGTCTCCTCAGGCCGATCGTTCTGCCTCGCAGGCCTCCCTGGTCAGTCCGTTTTCCTCACCCCTGGGCTGAACGTGTGACATCCAGTGTTTTTCCGTCACGAGTCCGTCTCTTTGGAACATGTGCTCTTTTGATAGGCGGGCGTTTCATTTACTCATCATTTCTGTAGGTACATGGGCGAGGGGGATCAGAGGAAGCAGTGACTGAGAGTGAAAGGCAAACTCAGAAGTGGAAAACAATGAGAGAACCGACGGGTTCGCCCAGGATGGCTGAGGCAGTTGCAAAGGGATGGCAAAATGAAATAGATTTAGCCCTTAAAGTAGCGGGTGGGTGAAAGAGAAATGGACAAAGGCGTGGGATCTCCAGGAGTTGGAGACAAGGAGACAGCGGTCCTGTGCCTGCGGTAGGAGGGCTGACAGGGGTGATCCTGGAAGAGAAACAGGGATAGGTGCTGACTAGAAGAGAAGAGGAGGAAGTAAGCATAGACACCTGGAGTGCCCCAGAGTGGGAGTGTAAGAGGGAGAGACGCGGTGTGACTAGAAGGCAGAGAGGGAGCAGAGTTGGAGAAAGAGATGTATAGATGTTTAGGACAATTGGAAGGGTGGGGGTGGGGAGAAGAGCAGTAAGAGGAGAAACAAGTTGCAGAGGGGGCAGGACAGGTGTGAGGGAAGAAATAGGAGGGCAGAAATCCCACTTGAGACAGTGGACGGTAAAGGACTGTTCCACATAGTGAGGTCTTCCTGTTTTTGTGGTTGTGGCAAACGGAGGGGGGATGTTGATCCTAAGCCTTAGCAGCCTGTTTTCCACTTGCAAGATCAACTTCTGAAAGCTTACATTGTCTGAGGAAGAAGCTGGGAAGAGGAGGAAAAAAGGAAAGAAAACAGGAATGGGTCTTTCTCAGGTAAAGTCATATTCTCAGTTGATTCAGTCTGCCCTTCCTGAAATGCCCTTCTTTGGACTTACTAATCATCTCTGACTCTGAAGTATCCTTCCTGACACCTGTACATGCACACTCACCAGAGAACTTCCCTCAGGGATTGTCATCTCCACTTAGATCCCATCTCCCCATGACCCAGTGGCCTGGACCTTGTGTGGAGGACACCACCCTGGGCAGGACTTCACACCCACGGGTTTGAGAAGGGGTCTCAGTGCTCTCGGGCAGCAGGGATTGCCTCGGGCTCTTCTGGGTGTGCAGTCTGCTCTCTGTCAACCAGGATTAAGAAGCTGTCCTAGGAAGTCAGGTATTAACATGCACAGTACATGGTAAAATCTGGAAGTAGACCTAAAAAGGGAAATTTGTTCTAAGGTAATTGAAGCTAAGTGAGTGAGGCACTGACTTCAAAATCTTGATTGGAAATGAGATGGAAAGTTCAGAATCAGGTATCAGTAATAGAGGGTGTGCTATTCCATCATCTTTGAAACTGTGAAATGAGTCTAAATCCCAGAGAGTTGGAAATTCACTTTCATTGCCTTCATTCTTCAGATTTTGTCGTTTGACTGTGTTCATTTTGTGGTTTGGCATAGAGATGTTTTTACTTTTGATGCAGGTGAGGTTTCCTCTTCATTGTTTAACCCATAGATTCACCATTTGTTATGGCATTTGTCTTTTTTCCACTGGGTTTTCTTAGCATTCTTGTCATTAGATTTTAAATACATGAAAATGGTTATTTCTGAGTATTCTTTTTCTTCCCTTGGTATATAAATCCTTGTTTATACCAGTACTACACCATCTGGATTATATTGTGATATGGCTTGAAATTTTAAAAATGGTGGCCTTCATCTTTATTCCTTCTACTTACTGAAGAGTATTTTTTCAATTTGTGGTCCTTGAGAGTCACTATGACTTCTTGCAAGTTTTTTTCTATTTCTGCAAACAGTTCAGTTCAGTTGCTCAGTTGTGTCCGACTCCCTGCAACACATGAATCGGAGCACGCCAGGCCTCCCTATCCATCACCAACTCCCGGAGTTTACTCAGACTCATGTCCATCGAGTCGGTGAAGCCATCCAGCCATCTCATCCTCTGTTGTCCCCTTCTCCTCCTGCCCTCAATCCCTCCCAGCATCAGGGTCTTTTCCAGTGAGTCAACTCTTTGCATGACGTGGCCAAAGTATTGGAGCTTCAGCTTCAACATCAGTCCTTCCAATGAACACCCAGGACTGGTCTCTTTTAGGATGGACTGGTTGCATCTCCTTGCAGTCCAAGGGACTCTCAAGAGGCTTCTCCAACACCACAGTTCAAAAACATCAATTCTTCAGTGCTCAGCTTTCTTTGTAGTCCAACTCTCACATCCATACATGACCACTGGAAAAACCATAGCCTTGACTAGATGGACCTTTGTTGGCAAAGTAATGTCTCTGCTTTTCAATATGCTATCTAGGTTGGTCATAACATGATAATCTCTAGTTTCATGCTGCTGCTGCTAAGTCACGTCAGTCGTGTCCAACTCTGTGCAACCCCATAGACGGCAACCCACCAGGCTCCCCCATCCCTGGGAGTGTCCAGGCAAGAACCCTGGAGTGGGCTGCCATTTCCTTCTCCAGTGCATGAAAGTGAAGTTGCTCAGTCATATCTGACTCTGAGTTCTTACGGACTGTAGCCCACGAGGCTCCTCCGTCCGTGGGATTTGCCAGGCAAGAGTATTGGAGTGGGTTGCCATTGCCTCCTCCTCTAGTTCCATGCATGTAGCTGCAAATGGCATTCTTTCATTCCTTTTTTTTTTTTAAATGCAGGAGTTAATATTTCATTTGGGCTTCCCTGATAGCTCATTTGGTAAAGAATCTGCCTGCAATGCAGGAGACCTGGGTTTGATCCCTGGGTTGGGAAAATCCCCTGGAGAAGGGAAAGGCTACCCACTCCAGTATTCTGGCCTGGAGAATTCCATGGACTGTATAGTCTGTGGCATCACAAAGAGTTGGACAGTCTGATATTCTTGTATATATGTACCATGTATTCTTTATCCATTCCTCTGTTGCTGGGCATTTAGATTGTTTCCATGCCTTGCCTATTGTAAATAGTGCTGCAGTGAACATTAGGGTGCACTGTCTTTTTGAATTATGGTTTTCTTCAGATAAATGCCCAGGAGTGGGTTTGCAGGATCTGAATCTTTCTTATTTTAATTCTTTTGTTCTGCCAAAGCTGAATTTAGTTTGTTCTCTTTCTCCTTCCTTATGATGTAAAAATAGTTTCTGATTGGACTTCTTTTTCCTTTTTGTGGTAACCATTTAGCCACGTGCGTGTGTGTGTGTGTGCTCTATCGTGTCTTGACTCTTTGCATCCCATGGACTGTAGCCCATCCGGCTCTTCTGTTCATGGAATTTCCCAAGAAAGAATACTTAAGTGAGTCATCATTTCCTTCTCCAGGGATCTTCCCAACCCAGGGATCAAACCTAAATCTCCTGGGTCTCCTGCATTGGCAAGCATGTTGTTTACCACTGAACCACCTGAGAAGTTTATTAGCCATGTAGACTTCTCTTTTATTATAACCTTCACTGCATGTTATAAATTGTGGAATGTTGTATTTTCAGTTTCATGTAGATGTTCAAAAATTTTCTTGATTTCTTTGAGGCATAAGTGTCATTACTTAGCTTCTTGACTTAAAGTATTCAAACAGTTTCAGTCATTGCTATTGCTGTCATTATCATAATTGATGATTTTGATTTTTCATTACAGCCATTGTTGGACTTTGTCATCTCTGAAGCCACCACTCAAGAGTGCAACTCATTTAGGTATTGAATATCTCTCAATGTGTAGAACATAGTATGTGACACTTCTGCATAGACAACCTTTTGTTATTAGATATTTTTCATGGATTCTTCACAAGAAGTGAAAAAAACATATTTATTGAAAGATATATTTATGAAAATGCATAAGAATTTAAGGGTCACAATGTGTGTTAGTCTTTCTGCTTAGTTGTGTTCAACTGGTGGACTGTAGCCCACCATGTCCATGGAATTCTCCAGGCAAGAATATTGGAATGGGTAGCCGTTCCCTTCTCCAGGAGATCTTCCTGACCCAGGGATTGAACCCAGTCTCCTGTACTGCAGGTAGATTCTTTACCTTCTGAGCCACCAGGGAAGCCTTCCAAATACCTTAACACAACTCTTTCAGAACATATCTGAATAAATCCTTACCCCTGTCATCATCTTTTCACTTTTTATGAAGATAAGAACTCTTCTCATGATCCATTGGTGAAATATATTCTCATTTCAGGGATGGTTAACCTTCAAGGATGTGGTGATTAAATTCTCTCAGGAGAAGTGGGAATGCCTGGACCCTGTTCAGAGGGCCTTGTACAGGGACATGATGCTGGAGACCTAGAAGAACCTGCTCTCTGTGGGTGAGGATAGCTTCTCTTTGGATGTTGGAATCTCCCCTTGTGTATTTTGCATTTTTCCCTATGTGTGTCTTGGGAGGCCTGTTTTCATTGCATGATCTTAGAGCCCTGTTGATACAGACATGATGTGGCATCACGAATTTAAAATGACCCTTTTTTCCAATGATCTGCCCACTTCATGTTACATCAGAGATTTTCCCAGTGCTTAATTATGTATAAAACTGAATGCCAAATTTTAAAACATATCCAATTTTCTCTTTTCTGTCCTTTACTTTTGACTCACTATTTCTTGGAAGGGTGTTAGATACATATATTACACTCTTCCCTGTGTATATACAAGGAGGCAAAGCAGTGGAAGAATTTGTGGAATATTTTTCCAGACCCACCTATACTGTTCTCACTCCTCAGCTAAACAAAGAGCTGTGGTTTTTCCAAAATCACTTTACATTTTCCAAAATCATTTTACGTTTCTTTGTTCTGATAAGCAGGATTTTCTATTTCTGATCTAAACATCATCTCCATATTGGAGCAAGAGAAAGAGCCTAGTATTGTGATGAGTGGTGTGAAAATAGCAAAACAAAACAAAAATGCCAAATGGACAGGAATGTATCAAAAGTGTGAACAGAGATCAGATCTCAGGACAGAGAAGAAAGCACATTAATAGTGGTTGGAAACTGTGAGGCGAGCAGAAGTAACGCCATGGCAGGCAGCTTAGATTAGGAGTAGGCCTTCCTACTTCTGGGGGGTAACATTATCAGGCCACTTGGATACAACCAATCAGCTTAACACTGACCGCTGTTTGCCAATTAGGAATGGGGCGGAAACCCCCGGAAAGTCCCGCACGCGCGAAAGTTTTGACCAATGAAATTGCTTTGCAAACTTGTAACCAATCCGCTTAAACCAACTACCAATGGTGTGTGCTCACCCTATAAATTTGTGTAACAGCTTGGGCTTGGGGCTCTCTGACCCCGCACCACTGCGTTGGATGCAGCAGTAGCCCTAACTCGAGTCAGCAATAAACTTCCCTTTTTGCGAGTTGCATTGTCTTGGAGGCCTTCTCTCTTCCCGCTCGGGGATTCGGACATCGGGCATAACAGAAACCTCTTGTAATGGTACATAGAGATGATAGTTTACAGTGAATGATGTCAGATTCGTGATCTCAGAAGAAGATATAGCTTTGGGACCAGGGACTAGGCTTGATTACTCAAGAGCTTTTGTGTAGCAGAGTTTTATTAAAGTATGAAAGGGGACAGAGAAAGCTTCTGACATAGACATCAGAAGGGGGATGGAGAATGCCCCCTCTCACTAGTCTTAGCAAGGGAGCTATATACTTTTTCAATTAGTTATTACAGTAAGTAAAAAGACTGTCTCAAGGTTGTAAAGGTCTTACCAGACCCACTCCCACAATTTACATTTTAAGATGACAGGATTAGTCAGAAGGTTCTCAAGAAGGAGAAACATGTCCTCAAGCAGGACACATTGTTGTTATATAATCTTAGTACAGGGTTTAGACTGAGTTGTTTTGTTGTGTAATCATCAGCTCTGGGCTTAAAGAAGAAAACCTTTGTCCTTTTCTCCTCCTTGAGAATTCCAAGCCCCTATCTCCTCCTTGAGAGCCCCAGACCCCTTTCTCCTCCTCCGGTACCCCAGACTTATCAACCTACCTAGGCATTGACTCTCTCAGATCTTTGGCAAAAGAGAAGTTTGTTTATTAAACTCTCAGAGGAAACTTAACTTTTCCCTGAGTTATCAGTCTGTCCTTCAACATGTATCATGTATTCTTTCACTCTCCAGTGGTGCTGCAGCTCCATCAGACACAAAGGCAAGGTTTTTATCAAGATCCATAACCCTCACCATCTCCCTGCTGTGAGCTGGTTGTGGCTTGAGTTTGAGGAGCATGAGGTGGGCTGCCTTACTGGGTTGTCTTGCCCTCTGTTCTCTCTTTGTGGGCATGGTTCTATTGGCTACTCAGTTCTTAGTCCATATAAATTAGAGCTGATGCCCCAAGCATCTAACCCCTGATCCTGTGCTGCTTTCATCACAGTTGTCATATTTGGAAGATATAATCAGAAGATGGGAAAATACTGGCTGCTGTATAATTTTATCTGGCCCCTCAGAACCTGTATGGAACTGCCTCAGTCCCTGTCTGCTTCTTGAGATCCCTCAGCCATTTCTGCTGTTCTCCTTTTGCTGCCATACCATGTCAGGGTGTGTGGAGTAGCCTGGTGGATTGGATCTTCTGTGACTGTCACTTAGGAAAACTCTGAGGACAGCAGTCCAACAAAGGGAAAATGTGTGAATCTTTCAGGCTTTTAGCTTGGCATCTCTGGGTGGACCAAATAGTCCCATCTTAAGGTCTTATGAGACCCCCACATCTTGTAGTTTTCCGCTCTTGTACTGGTCTATCTAGTCTGGGAGTGTAGACTCTTCCTGACTTTGCTTTCTCCTTAGTTTGTATAATTTTTCCTTTTAAATTTGGTTTTGAAGTGTGTGGTTCTAGTGTCTGAAGTCATGTCCAGCTTCTTTGCTGTGGTAATCCGCCTGTGTTTAAGGGGCAGCTCCTCATGGACTCTCTGTGGTGTGGGTTTACTGGGTAAGAGAAAATTTTTAAAGGAGAATACTTTCCCTTATTGGTTGTAATATTTTCCTGCTGCATACAGAATTACCACTTGAAGCTTCTTAGTATAGTGGTCAGCGTGTTCTGTGATATGAGAAAGTATCTGAAGACCTTCACCTGTACATCTTTTTCTGGCTTTGAGTGATGTCAGAAAAGCCTGTGTGAAGGGCACTGTGATAGTGTTGTTCACTATCACCATGTGTATTATCACCATGCCCTTTGAGCCTCACCAAGAGGTGTAGGAACTTCTCCTAAGAAACGGTATTGTCCAGGTTCACACCCTCATGTTTGTGAGGCTGTTGACTAAACTGTTGCTGATGCTGCATGCTTGTCACCTATGTGCTATTGATCATTCTGCCTCCACACTTAATTTTGTAGCAACTTAATGACAGAGCTTATGTAGTGGATTGATAACTTCAGTGATGAACCATCACTTTTTTTCAAGGCATTGCTACTTTCCTTTCTTTATATTTTTATACATTATAAGTGATTGTCTTTTATTTTGATCATTAAGTTTCTATTTTATGTTACTCTTTGTATTTTATTTGCAATAGGTGGGATGGTTGGTTGAGAAAGCTACCCCACCCCTATGGTAGAATTGGTGATCAGTACTTTTTAGTTATTTATGTATTCTTGATGTTAAACTATTATTGAATATATGATTGGCAAATTTTTTGTATTACAGTGTACATTGTTTTTTCACTGCTGAGTATGGTTTACTGCACAATGTTTGATAATTAGGATGTGTGCAGTTTACCTCTTTTTATTTTGTTGGCGTGAGCTTTTGGTGTTGTATCTGTTAAATCATTGGTGAATCCACTGTTGAGAATCATTTTCTGTTCATTTACTTATAGGAGCCTTATACACTAGGGACTGAGTTTTAGGTCTTTGAAGCATTTTGAGTTAATTTTTGTCTATAGTGTCTAATAATGTTCCAGCTAAATTCTATATGTGAATATCCAGTTTTCACAACATGTTTTGTTCCATAGATTGCCCTTCCCCCATTACTTGGTCTTGATACTATTGTGGAACATCATGTGACCTTACAGGCAGAAGTATTTTTCTGAATCTGTTGTGTTCCCCACGTGTCTGTCTTTATATCAGTACCATACTGCTTTGATTACTGTAGTTTTGGAATCAGTTTTGAAATAAAAAAATGTGAGATGTTTTGACTTCGCTCTCCAGTTTGTTTTTGCTATTCATTGTCTTCTGTGATTCCATAGGAATTGTATGATTGATTCATCTGTTTCTTAAGCTAAGCAGTGTTCAGATTTCACTAGGGATTGTTTTGAATCTTTTGTTAACTTTGACTAGTATTGACATCTTGACAATATCAACTTTATATCCGTGAAGCATGAGGTATTGACATTTATTTGATTATTTTTCAGAAGTCTTTAGTTTGCAGGATAAAAATTCTTCCCTTGTATAATGTTGTGATTAAGTATTCTTATTTAATTTTCTTGTCAATTAAATTACTTTGATCATTTTTAATGTTTAGAAACCCATTGGGTTTGCATGCTGATGTTGTATCTTGTAACTTTTTTGAAGTCTTTAATTATTTATATACTTTTTTTTTAACATGTTAATGTTGCAAAATGCCTATTATGGGTATGTCATTTTGTAGGACATATTTAGAAAGATACTTTGTTTCATAAAAACTGTATTGAATTTTTTTTCTCTATGGTATATATATTAACAATTCTAAACAGCAGCATATTATTAGATAAGCTCATTTTGGATTTTTTAGCATTACAATATATTGTGTGTTCATTAGCATTTATTTGTGTACAGTAAGTATGCAGAATATATCTATAGTAGAATACATTTTTCTACTCAATTATGAGACTGCAGTATGTTTACTGTTAATTGTACATGCTTTGAAGTCATGGTGGAAAAATTGCGGTTTTTTTTTTTTTTTGTGAGCTGACATGTTTTTCTAGTATAAGTGTTTTTGCATAGGCTGTTTGCAAGTATTCTTCCCTAAAATCAAATTGAACTATCTTTTAAAACTCTTATTTTTAGTAAAAAAGTTTATTGCTCTAGTATTTCTCAGAATTTTAAGTTCATATTTGGAAAGTTTCAAAATTTTTTGAAAATGAAAAATATTACATAATTGGAAAAAGTTTCATAACTGTGATGTAAGTATTACTTTTGTTGTAATAGACACTGAGACACTTACTGATGAATTTTAGTGAATGGAATCTTTATGTCTTGTAGATATCTATACAATACATGTGGTCAACCAATTACAACCCAAAGCAGACATGATACAGGAGAAGTATTCCAAACAGCAATCTTGGGAAGACCTAAAACTCATGAAATCAAACATTTTTACCTCAGGGAAATCCAGGAAGACATGTATGACTTTGAGTCTCATTGGAGAAGTGGTGAAAGAAATAACAAAGGAATGCCTATAACTCATGGTGGAAATCTCACTGATGACAGAGGTCAACAGTGTAGAAAGTATGTGGAAATCAAGTCCTTTGTAAATAGGCTTGGATTAAACGTGCAGGATAAACTGCAGATATTTCAAACTGACGGGATAATTTCTGAATGTAATGAAGTTATGAGGTCTGTCAACAGTAGTTTGTCACTTTCACCACTTCAAGGAATATCTCCTAGTGTCCAAACTAACCTTTCTAATATATTTGGGAATGATTTTTTGCATCCTTTATTACTGACACAAGATCCAACAGCATACTGGAAAAGAGCTTTCAAGTATATTGAGTGTAGGAAAAGCTTTAGTCATGTCTCAGCTCTCAGGAATCATCAGATAATTTATTTAGATGAGATATTACATAAATGTGACATATGTGTCAAGGTCTTCAGTACAAATTCACACCTTGCAGTTCATCAGAGAATTCATAAGGGTGAGAAACCTCACAAATGTGATGAGTGTGGCAAAGTCTTCAGTCATAGAACAACTCTTGCAAATAATCAAAGAATTCATACTGGAGAGAAACCTTTCAAATGTAATGAGTGTGGCAGAAGCTTTAATTGCTCCTCAAATCTCTCTAGACACCAGATAATTCATATAGGATATAAATTATATAAATGTGATGTATGTGGCAGTGACTTTAGTCGAAAATCAAACCTCACAGATCATCAGAGAGTTCATAGTGGAGAGAAGCAAAGTAAAGTGGGAGAAGGTTATAAATGTAATTTTTGTGGTAAGTTGTTTAGCCACAGTTCACACCTTTTAATTCATCAGAGAATCCCTATGGGAGAGAAACCTTACAAATGTAATCAATGTAGAAAGGACTTTAGTGAAAAGGCAACCCCTGCAAAGCATCAAAGTAATTAATACTGGAGAGAAACCTTACAAATGTAATGAGTGCAGAAAAGCCTTTAGTCAAAAAATACATCTTCAGCTTCATTGGAGAATACATACAGGAGAGAAACCTTACAAATGTAACGTGTGGCAGGTCTTTCAGTTGAGATTCACTCCTTACAAGTCATTGGAGAGTACATTTTGTAGAGAGACCTTTCAAATGTTTTGATTGTGAAAAAGCCTTTACTCAGGTCTCAAACCTCACTAAACATCAGAAAATCCATAAATGAGAGACATCATCCAAGTGTGATATATGTTGATCTTTAACTCTCAGAGTTCAAAAGAAACTACAAATGTCATGAGTGTGGCAAAGCTTTTTGTGTGTGGAAGCCTCACAATCAGATAATTCATAGAAGAGTGGAACATTACAAATGTAGTGAGTGTCTCAGAGTACTTAGTCTGAATGCATACCTTTTGATCCATATTGGAAAGAAACATTAGAAATGTAGAGTGTGGTAAATTCTTCAGTGTACTTTCAAGCCTGACTTGCCATCAGATGATGTACAGAGGTGAGAGCCCTTGAAAATACAATTGAGGTTGCAGTGCTTTTGGCAGTGGTTCATATCTTATGCTTCATGAGAATATTCACACTGGATCGAGCATAGATGATATTGAATGTGGTCAGGCCTTTGAAAATCTACTCATTCTAAAAAAGTTCATCACCAGTGCCAGGAATGTGAGCAACCTTTTCTCATTGGTTTCCCCTTGCACTAGTAATCAAGTTGTTTGTACTGCACCAAACAGTACTAATATACTGAATTTTGAGTAGCTTTTAGATTGTGCCTTAGACTTACCAAATACTTCATGATTTAAATTGCAGTGAATATGGCGAGACTTCATGTTATTATTCATTTATCACTAGATGGCAGAATAATTATCTTGAAGAGAAAGCACACAGATGTAAACTGTGTGGCATGGCTTTTACCCAAAGATCACAACTTGGGGAACATACTGGAGAACACCTCCCAAATGCAATGAGTGTTGGAAAACCTTTACGTTGAGTTCAGGTATTAGGACTTGAGCAATCTGATCATGAGAATGTTCAGTTTCTGACCATGAAGCCTAGCCATGATGAAAGCTCGGTTTATGAGTCTTTGGGATGGACTGGATACAGATCCCAGGTGCCAAGTCCTAGTGATGGGAGCTTCTGATCATGCTGAGGATTTTGACTCAGCTATAAGGAAAAGAATGCCTACAAGATTTCGTATCAAACAGCCTGCTCTGAAACAAACCTAAGTGTGGGAGTTGGCTACTAGAAGTTCATCTAAGAAGATATTGCTAAAATAGATATATTTTGACATGTGTTTTTGAAAATAGCATGTAATCTGCCGTTTTTGAATGTTCTGAACATGTTGATTAGATCCCATGATTTGATGGGGGTATGGCATCATCCATAAATCCCAAATCTTTGGAAGACTGTATTTTTCAGACTTTGTTACCCACATTTGAGAGAACATTGTTGTTCAGTTGGACAGTCATGTCCGACTCTTTGCAACCCCATGGACTGCAGCATGCCAGGCTTCCCTGTCTTTCACCATCTCCCAGAGCTTGCTCAAACTCATATTGATGCCATTTAACCATCTCATTCTCTGTCGGCGTCCCCTTCTCCCACTTTCAATCTTTCCCAGCATCAGGGTCTTTTTTAATGAGTCGGCTCTTCACATCAGGTGACCAAAGTACTGGAGCTTCAGCTTCAACATCAACCCTTCCCTTGAATATTCAGGATTGATCTCCTTTAGGATTGACTGGTTTGATCTCCTTGAAGTCCAAGAGACTCTCCAGAGTCTTCTCCAACACCACAGTTCAAAAGCATCCTTTCTTTACCACTCAGCCTTCTTTATGGTCCAGCTCTCATATCCATACATGACTACTGGAAAAACCATTGCTTTACTATACAGACCTTTGTGGGCAAAGTAATGTCTCTCTTTTTTTTAATATGCTGTCTAGGTTTGTCATCGCTTTAGAAAATAAAGACCTAAAATATATTACAATTTGCAAATAGAAAGTGAAAATTTCTAATTGTGTTCATACTGAACATATAATCGATTTGAAATTACATTATGGATATTTAGTTTAGTGTAATTTCCTAAACAAGTTTTTGGGAAAGATACTTAACAGTCGGGCTTCCCTGGTGGCTCAGACAGTACAGAATTCGCGTGCAATGCACAAGACCTGGGTTCGATCCCTGGGTTGGGAAGATCCCCTGGAGGAGGGCATGGCATCCCACTCAAGTATTCTGGCCTGGAGAGTCCCACGGACAGAGGAGCCTGGCAGGCTGGGATTCATGGAGTCACAAAGAATCTGACTCAGCTGAGTGACTAAGCACTTCCTCCAAAGTATAGGATAGAGTATTGTAAAGAATAATGCAATTCTCATCAAAGGAAAAAAAATGTTTTTTTTCTCCTATTTTGCTTTCTCTTTTTAGGTTATCTATACAAAATTATGAATGCTAGGTAAACTTATTGTGATAATCGTTTCACAGTGTACGTATCAGTTGATTTTTCTCTGTAGCTTAAACTTACACAATGATATTTGTCATTGTAAGACTTGTTTATACAACCCCCTTTATGTCACTGTTTAAAGAGTTGGGTTTAGAGAGGGAAATAATTAAAACACGTTGGATAAAAGAAACAATAACACAGTTTATAATCATTTAAAGTGTCTTGCTGTTTTTTTTTTTTTTTAGTCTTGTTTATCTCACAAGACCTACAAAAATTGTGGGAGAAGTGCTCTATAGCCCTCCGCAAGGGCGAGGGGCGAGGGAGAATGACCCTAACTCTGTCTTGCTGTTTTTAAGGCTGTGGTTAGTGACCCAAATGATCACATCCCTTAAGTCCTCCATCTCAGACACCCAGTTACTGACCCTGAGATTGTTGAACTCAGCACTATGCTGAGTTTGCTGTTTGGTAGGGTGTCAGTAGGGAATAGCCCATTTCTACCCAGGGAGAATTTTGTATTTGTAATACAGAGCCTAGTCCCATTCTTGTTTCTTACAACTGCCCAAGTTCCCAGATCCCTGAATTGCTTCAGCCTCACTAGCAGGATCTGAGCACAACATGCTGTGAAAAACAGCTTTTTATTAAGAATAAACCCTTTTCGTCTTAAGAGGAAGTATCTTGGCTTCCCACATAACTTGAAGCTTTTACCTGAGCGGTGTTACAGACATAACTTAATCCTGTCAAGGTAACAGGCCCCGCCCCCCTCGGCGCCCCGCCCCTCCCCCCGAGCAGTGCGCGCAGCGGGTGCTCGCCCCGCCCCTCTTCGGAAGCCGCGGCTCTAATACCAAAAGCCCTTTCACACAGACCCGGAAGTTGGAGAGAGCGGAGCCGAGGTTCCCGAGCGGCGCCTAAGGTTCCTTCTAGGGTAAGTTTGCAGAGCCCACCCCCCGCCGGCTCACTCGTCCTCAAGGTGTGGGAATTCTCAGCGACCTGAAAACCCTGGCACTCGGTGCTCGGCCCCGAATAAACGCTGCCGCTGCCATTGCGGCCCAGTTATCTTTTCGTTTGGGTTTTAAGAGTTTCTGAGGCGGTTTCGGCCCTGGCTCCGCGGAGACACCGATTTTGGCGACATTTTCCTGCTTAAAACACTTTTTTTAACCTCTGGCCTTGCCAAGTAAAGCCCTCTCTCGCGAATTGGAGTCGCGCCCCGCCGCGTCGCCTTCCCGACCGCTTGAGGCAGAGCCCGTCGCCCCCGCTCCCGGAGAGGCCGCGCCCTCTGCCCGGCCCCGGGATTCCGGAGAGCCCGCCCCGCTCCTGAGACCCCTTGCCTCCCAGTCCCTCTGACCTCGCGTCTCCTCAGGCCGCTCCTTCTGCCCCGCAGGGCCCCCCTTTCCTGTCAGCCCGTCCCCTCACCCCACGTAGGTAGGTGACCTGGGCCAGGTATGTGACAGCCAGTGCTGTTGCATGTCCAATTCAACTGGGTCGGAGAAGGTGCTCTTCCTCTCCGGGGGGCGTCTCGTTCTGTCGCCCACTCAGTAAATACAGGAGGCGGGAGGATCAGGAGAAGCAGAGTCAGAAGGACTGCGAGAAAAAACAAACTGAGGAGAAAAGCGTCAGGGAGAACCAACGCGAACTCTCAGACTGGCTGAGGGATTGCAAAGGGATAGTCAAGTCAAAGAGGTTAAGCCTTGAAAATAGCCAAGTGGGTAAAATAGAGAAGTATCAATAAATTAGAAAGCCAGATCTCCAGGGATTGGAAAACAGCATAGGGAGAGCTGCCCTGTATCAGTGATTGGAGCAGGGAGGCGACGGGCGATGAGGGACGTCAGAGGTGGAGAGTCCCTAACTGAGTTTTGGCCGGGTTTGAGTCCAGGCTTCTTGGGTTAGAGTCCCGAGTTGTGTTTTCACCCGGTTGGAGTCCCGCCATGTGGGTTCAAGTCTCAATTTGAGGTGGCCGGTTTTATCATGGTGCTGGCAGAGAAAGAGGCCAAAGGGTAAGGAGCAGAGGAAGAGATGGCTGGAAGGAAGCATAGCCACATGGCCTTCCAGAGAGTGGGGAGGAAGAGAGAGTCACAGCCAGAGAAGGGGAGTAATCTGGGGCGCAGAGAGGGAGCTGAAATGGGGGAAGAAAGAGGCAGACATAGGTATGGATTTTTGAAAGACTCAGGAAGGTTGGAGAGAGGGCGTTTCGAGGGGGAACGAATTGCAGTAGCCTGGGACAGGACACTTGTGAGGGAGGAAATAGGACGGGAACAGCAGGAGAGCAGAGGGGGGAGAAAGACACAGAGACCCAGATGAAATAAGGGAGATAGGTGAACAGAGGGGTAAGCTCAACCCAGGTGTGTCTAGTTGTTTGGATACAGATGATTTTTTTAGTTCTACAGAGGAGGATGAGAATTTCAAAACTCCTGTCTATAAGGCTTGTGTCTTTTTTTATTACTTGTGGCAGAAGATGACTTTCATTTGCAAATCCTGTTGAGCCTGGGGCAGTGGCTTGATTCACTAACTTCTGAGTGACCCTCTTCTCTTTTCCTGGCTTTTCCTTGTCTTTTCCTATAGATGTCGAGGAAGAATAGACCTGGGGCAAGAAATGACTGACTCTGTCACTCTGTGGTAGCTTTTTTTTTTTTAATTAATTTTTTTTGGCTGTGCTGTCTTCGGTTCTGTGCGGTGGGCTCAGGAGTTGTGGCTCCCAGGTTCTAAAGCACAAGCTCAGTAGTTGTGCACAGGCGTAGTTGCTTGTACTTGTGGGATCTTCCTGAAGCAGGGATAGAACCCATGTCCCCTGCATTGTCAGGCAGATTCTTATCCACTGTATCACTATTGGGTAGCATTTTTAAAGGAACACTTTCTTTTTCAATGGATTCACATTTTCTCCTTTATGTATGGTGCTTTTTGTATAGCTTGGAATAGGTCTTAATTCATTCAGTGTCTGTAATCATTTTTAACTTCAGAATTAAGCATTTTTAGTTTCCAGTATTCTACTTTTATCACCCTTTTGTAAATATGATTATTCTCTGTTTTTTTAAACTTTGACACCAGATTTTTAGATTAAAAATAATTCACAATTTTTTTTTCCAAATTTTTTTCAGATTCATTCCTTGTCTGAGCGCTTTCTTTCCTTCATCTCGTACATTTGAAATTTTCTTTGGTAAGTAGTAAATCATCTTAGACTATTTTGTGCCATACTTAGCAAAAATGTCACCTCGTTTATCAGTTCTAATGAGGTAGATGAACCTAGAACCTATTATACAGAGTGAAATAAGTCAGAAAGAGAAAGACAAATACTCTATATTAATGCATATATGTGGAATTTAGAAAGATGGTACCAACGATCCTACATGCAGGGCAACAAAGGGAGACACAGATGTAAAGAACAGACTTTTGGACTCTGGGAGAAGGCGAAGGTGGGATGATTTGAGAGAATAGCATTGAAACATGTATATTACCATATGTAAAATAGAATGATCAGTGCAAGTTTGATGCATGAAGCAGGGCACCCAAAGCCAATGCTCTGGAACAACCCAGAGAGATAGGGTGAGGAGGAAGGGGGGGTCAGGATAGGGGGGACACATGTCCAGTTCACATTGATGTATGGCAAAAACCATCACAATATTATAAATTAATTTATTAAAATAAATTAAAATAAAAATTAAATAATTCAAATAAATACATAAAATAATTAAAAAATAAAAATGAGGAAACTGAAAAATAAAAGTTAATTAGCAAAGATCACCTCCCCTCCCTTTCTCCGAATTCAAAGAGAAATACATCTTGGAGGGTTTTATGTATGGGACATCGTGTACTAAAATAGACATATTTTCAGCTATGGTTTTACCAAAGACATGAATTGTGTGTATGTGTTTATGTGTGCACAAACAAATGGATATTTCTGGTCTCAGCTCTTTATCAGAGAATAACGGAGGTATGACATTCGATCTTGTGAAATTAAAGGCATATCTTTAAGAAATGGGAAAATAAAAGAACATTTAACATGATAAAACAAACAAAATAAAATGCTTCGTTCTTTCCTTTCAAGAAAAAGAAAACACCTAGTTTAGCTGATCAGTCTAATGGTCTGTTTTCTCCA